TGAGATATTTTGTAACCTAAATATTTTAATTCAGGGGCTGCAAATTTGCACTTTTCGACATTAACTTTTAGACCGGCCTCATTTAATAAAGAAAACACCTGTCTTAAATCCTGTACATGTTGGTCGAGATTATCACTAGTAATAATGATATCGTCTAAATAGATAAATGTGGACTTTCCAAGAACAGGTCTTAACACAATGTCCATGCATCGCTGAAATGTTGCCGGGGCCCCTGAAAGGCCAAACGGCATACGCAAAAATGCATAAGTGCCAGACTTGGTTATAAAAGCAGTCTTAGGCACGTCCTCAGGCCTAACCCCTATTTGAAAATAACCAGTCGTTAAGTCTAAAGTCGTCATAAATTTGGTTTGATTTTATGTTCCTTAAAATTTCTTCAATAATCGGTAACGGATATACCGGATATTTAGTTATGGAGTTTAATTTACGGTAATCAATAGCGAATCTCCACCTTTTTGGATGCTCCAAAGGATAGTCATTATTTTTCTTACATAAAACCACCGGGCTAGCATAACTACTTGAGATGGGCGTTATGATCTTTTTACGTAGCATATCGGTAATATGCCATTCTATAATTTTTTCCTTATTCTTATCATACCGGTATGGTTTTTGGACGAACTGGCATTGAATCTCCGGTGTCAATACTATGGTTAGTAACCTGAGTAAATCCTGGAATATCACTAAATAACGAAGCAAATTCACTTACCACTTGTCGGATTCTTCTTGCTCGTCATTAGGCAGGTGGTCAAGATTTAACATCGGCGGTTCAGCCTTTTCTCACGAACTGGTTTCATTGTCAGCTTAAGGGACGCTTCATTAAAATCCAGCGTTAGCTTGTGCCTCTGAAAGAAAATCTATTCCTAAGATTAATATGTGCTTGCAGATTCTTTACTATAAAAAACATCACCTTTACTTGTTCGTCCTTGATACGGATATACAAAGGTACTTTACCTACGCACTTACATTTTTCTCCTTGCGCCGCTAACACTGTCGTATTATCCGAATTATATATGCGGTATTTGCGAAAATACTTCCTAAAAAAATCTTCTGCCACACAGGAACACTGCGCGCCTGTATCCAGGAGTGCGGTGGCTGGGATATTATTCACCAACACTTCAATCTTCGGAAGAGTCAAATTTTTCACCATTACTGTATTTAACTTGAAGGAAGAGGGGTTTTCGTGGCCTTCGGATTTCCGCACCCTCTCGTCAGCAGAAATCCGTTTTAGTTTAAATTATTTTTTTTCGTGCTTTCCTTCTTTTTTCCACTGGCCTTGAGACTTTTTTCCTGGTTGCTATTGAACTGTCGACGTTCGCCGGCTGTTTTTGAATGCTCGGGTTTCCTTGCCCACTGATTCGCTTTTTCTCCGTAGCCGTGTGCTTGAGTTTGCTGTAGTCTTGGCGTACCAAATTGGTTTCGCTGTTGATATTGGCGTCTTCTTTCAACGTCCGCCGTTCTTCTACTTTCAAACTGGATTGCTAGCTCAAATAACTTTTCCAGTGTAGTCGGATTTCTTAATTCAATAAAGTCTTGCACTTGGGGCAGTAACCTCGGCAAAATCACTTGAATTATTTCAGGATCCGGACGGTTTCCATACAAGAGTTTGAAAACGTGAATTTTTCTTAAAATAAAGCTTGAGAGGTTTTCGATTCTTTGTTGATATATGCTGAAAAGTTCCGTTTCTAATTTCGCACGATCCCTTACAACAGGGAAGGCTTTTAGTAGGGCAGTCTTGAAATTTTCGTAAGTATAGGTGGGACTTCCTGCTTGACCCAAGAGACTTCTGCCTATACATTTGAACCATTTAAGCGCTTGGCCCCTCAAAGCGCTGGTAGCTAAGGTAACTTTTTGAAACTCGTGCACGGGGTAGAGCATGAAGTGGTCATCCAATTTTTCCAAAAAACTGGTTACCGGTGAGTTTCCATTAAATGTTGCTTCTGGTTTTCTCGAAGCGCGCATGGTCTGGACGACGTAACCAAATCCTTCCAGGGCGGCAGCTGGCATTTCTGGATTCTGAGCCGCTTCTGCAGGCAGCACAGGTTCTTCTTGAAACTCGGCCATGGTTATTCTTCTTCGTTGGGCGCCACTATCAGGTTCAATGTTCCTTCTACCTTCTTCGGGAAACATACAAGGACCTGACTCGGAACAGAGAGCTTACTAAAGCTATGTTCAACTAATTGTGGGTAAGTAGACAGGATACAGACGAAGGGTATATACAAAACCCTTTATTTTTCTTTATATACAATAACTTCCGTACTTCGGAATACAATGACCCTCCACTTGGGGTCTAACGTAAAAGATATCAAAATAAAACTAAACTCTAATTTAACTTTAGAATGGAAGATTGGCCTTATAATAACAGGAAGCGTATGTAGCACAGAGACTGTGAACACTACAATACGTTTAAAATTTATCAAGAGGATTAAACCTCTGGCCTGGAAGGCAAATAGCAACTGCGTAAAACTTCTAAGGTAAGCGGCCTGCTTCGAACTCACTGCTTCCTCTCTCTCTCGCTTGGCAAAAAGCCACACTTAAATACTTGGCGTTCGCCAGACAAACTTTGCATAAAAATCCTTAACGCTTATAATTCTGGCCGGAAGTAGAAAATAAGAAGTGATAGTAAAGATTTAAAATAAAATAAACGTTAGTAAAACTTAAAGATCCTTACAAGAACTGTTTTAATTTGATATTAGTAGAGGTTTTAAACAGAGATTGAGAAAATCAAATTGTTCACAAACTAAAACCAAATTATTTAATGTCAAGGGAAACGAGAGACAAAAAGTCGCTCCAGAGAAACATTATTTCAAAAGTCCGCAAAAGTATACTCTACCCCACAGGAAATCAGAAAGCATCTGACCTTCGATGAGTTAATCGATAATATCTTCGGTATTATGAATAGTACCAAATAGTACCAACGAGAATAACAAGTATTTAACAAATAATTTTGTTTAAGTACTTGTTAAAGTTATTCTTATTGTATCCTTTGTAACTAATTATTGATTAGATTTTGTGCTAAATTAGCACTCTAGATTAAAATATATAGTATAAAACATCAAGTAATGGCATAAAAAGACCTGCTTCCTTTACTCACACTTTTGAAAAATTAATAACTGTTTATTACTCTGAATAAAGCTATTTTGTCAAAATAGGTAACAAGTTTATACATTTATTTAGTTGTATATAGATATAAGCATAAATTACAAATTATTTAAAAAATCTTTATATTGCATCGAAGAAGAGAAGTATAACAATTTAAAATTTACAATTAGGCAAAAAAAATCAAACGTAGGTTAGCAGAAATGTTGCCATATATGTCATATATGTTTAACCTATGTCAATGTAAAGTTTTTTTGAGTAAATTTAAATAGCTGCTATTATAGTTATCTTAGAAGCAGTATAAAATTCTCTCAGTTTAGCATGCAAATAAAGAAATGATTAGAAATAAACGGGCATTAAATAAAAAACCTGCAAGTAAAAATAAAAAAAACCTACGAACTTATATTAAAAGAGTAGCACTTTTATCTATTATTTTAAAATTGAGTAAGCATTATTAAATTTTTAATGGTTCAGTCTAAAATGCATAAAGCAGTAACTTGCCTCTTCCAAATTATAGCTATCTTTCACACCACAGCTCATTTTAAACGCTGGTTCAAAATGCTAATTTCCAAGCTGTGAATTATATTGGCGCGCTCAGTGTCATCATGGCTACGTCATCACTTCTCACTTTCTGCTTCAGGGGGAAAAGCTCTATGAGATAGCCCTTCTCTTCTAAGTCCTGGGTTTGTTAGTTGTTGCACAATATAATTGGGGTTCATGCGGGCAGGCCTCTGATTACGACTTTAATCACTTTTCTTCAGACAGAAGAAAGGTATGGGTTTTAAGACGTGTTTCTTCTATGATTTTGAGAATAAAGCGGTGATAGTCAGATAGATCTGGGGATTCAATTTGTAGTCTATTTCCTTTAAGAGTGCCCATTATCTTTCTTCCAGTTTGATCACTTAATTTGCAAAAAATTCGTCGGCTTTAACAATAGCATCCATTATTATTATGGGTGGAACTCCATTCTTTTGGGTTTTATTTTCAGAGAATTCCTTTTTGGTAGTTTTTGAAATAATGGCACGTATAGATAGTTGACTAGAAGTGGGTTGGTGGTCTTCTACAGTATCACCTAAGTTCATTGAGTCATTATCGGTTTGGAGAAGTTTAAATTTGTTATTAGTTTTAAGATTTGGTTCGTCATTTTCGCTCTCAGAATCTGAAGACTCCTCTTAGTTGGCGTTCCGTTGTTTACAGAATTCACCTCCAGTTTGATGAGCTTCGCAGTATTGTTTCAAGTCGTTTATTTATTTCTGTAAAAGTTCATTAGAACTTTTGAGTTCATTGATAATTGCAGTTAACTTGAGCATTTTCTTGTTCTCTTAATTGATTGATGGCTTTTGCAAGTAGAAGATGCAGTTTTTTGATTGATTCGGGTGAAAATCCAACATTTGTTTGATTTAAGGCATTTTCAATGTCGAGTACAACTTGCATGGTGGAGTTAGCATTATTTGATAAAGTTATCTTGTGACTGAGGATGTGAATAAATTGAGGATCTCCGTATCAGGTTGCGTATTCAAATCACTCCCGGGTCACCAATTTTTTTGTATAACCATCAGAGGAAGAATTAAGAATCAAAACAAAAATAATGGAAAGCTAACTGGTAATAACTGTTAATTGATACTGCCACTCGGCAAATCTTAATAGTTACAAAAGAACGTTAAATTATGTTGCCACTTCATATTAATGTCAAACAAAAACCAGCAAATTCTGATTACTAGATTTCAAAGAATAGGGACTAACTGTTTACATTTTAAGGTGACCAAATCAGATATAAATTTTTTTATCTTGTTTTATTATAATAAAGAAATTGTCTGAAAAAACGTCGCGTTTGGGTCTCTAGGATGCCTAATCGAGATATGCACATGGATGCATTTTGTGGCATTTGCAGTAATAATGGAACCCAGTAATATGTCATTAGGATAAAAATTCAAGAAAATTATACAAAGCCAGAGAATGAATGCTACAATAAAAGGAATTACTTATGTTTATACTGATTGAGCATCACTTAGAAATTGCATTTATTATCTGTTCCAGCATCCACTCAAATGAAGATAGTATTTAACTAAAACTGATACATTAGTTGCCTGCAATAATTTAGCTAATGTTAGGAAACAGGATGAAAAATCCGTCTTTGCGCACCTTGTCTATGCGAAAAAAAAAAAAAAAAAAAAAAAAAAAAAAAAAAAAAAAAAAAAAAACTACAAATTTTTCGATTATGTTCTTTGCCGCCTGGCAAAATGACTTTTTTTTATATGGCTTGTTTTGCTCAGAATATGCCGAAAGGTTTGGGACACTCCGTGGTCTGAGTATAATCATGGATTAGTTCTGTGGCTGATCTCAGACTTGTTTTTGCACAAGCAGTTCAGTTATAATTACAACATAAATACGAAGAATTAGCCACTATTTTTTTAGGCAGGCATAACTGTTAATTGAATAAAGAATATTAAAAATTAGTTAAATGTAGAGCAGACGAAAGTGAGTTTCGCCTTTGCTGCTGGTGAGGTCCCATTATATTATCAAATTATTTTTATTAGTAATTAAATTATCAGTAATGTACTTCTTGTTTACCTTAAGCTTCGAGTTTTTTAAGGATAATTGATAATCACTAGATCCAAGTCTTTTTTTTTTTTTTTATTTTTATAGGTAGCTTCTGTAATCAAATTAACAGTGGTTTCCGTTATGTAAAAAATTTGGGTGTTTGGCTTTTCCTTATGTAAAAGTTTATATGTAAGTGTATGATTTCTGTATCCAATTTATTTTTACGTACACCATTATTTATAACTGTGTATTCATTTATATAATATGATGTAATATTTGCTTTTTAGAAGAGATTTCAATGATCACTGGAGTAAATATTCTGTCAAACATTTAATTTATAATTTCGTATTATAAATGTAAATAAATAGATTTTTTATAATTAATAGCTAATTTAGCTGTCATTTTTATAAATTATCTGACGTAATTAAATTTTGGACGAAGTATATGTTATATAGATTTAATAACTTTTATCATGGTTGTTGCTTTTCAGTGAATCTTTTATCCTAATTTTCCTTGGGTATTAAATTCATATAACGTTGTAAATGACCAACATTTATTTTTTGATACTTTACATGGGAAAAAATTCATATACTGATAATATATATATGTGTAGTTTTGAAAAATTTTGGATTAAAATTGTTATGCATAACTTTAAAAGGTGTTTAAAAAATATTTGTAAAATTACTTTAAAACTAACTTTGGTTAAAGTTACTTTGCATAACTTTAAAAGGAATTTATAATAGATAAGAGTATTTTCAACAAAAAGTAGGCATTTAATTTGTGAGAAAATTGATTATTTTCAGCTTTGCATTTAAATTTTATTTTAAATTTCAAAATTTTGAATGTCATTCTTTCTGTCATTATGAGCCATATAAATTTCAGTTGTTTTTGTCATCTAAAATTTCAGAGAATAAACTTGTAATCTTAATATATTGAATTTTTTTTTCTCTTTTTAAATACTCATTCAAGTGCTCTAAAAGTTTTTTTTTTCATAATATTTATGCTAAATTTAAATATTTTGAAATATGCAAATAAATAATAAGGGAAATTATTTTTAAATCATTATGTCAGGCTCTTCTGCTTATAACATATTGAGTCCTTTTTCCGTATGTCCATGTTTCATACATGTAATAAACCTGCATTATATTCCTCTCCTATAAAAAATCAGTGTACTTTAATTTATTAAGTTCTGCTAAGTGTGATATATTTCAAGGTGCATGCAAGCATATGGATTGCAAATATAATATAAATTCTTCAAACTTCAAAGCACAGTTTAATATAAAAGAAGTACCTTAATTTGTTGATATGTATAAACAATATTCTACATAACTAGGCTGTATAGTTCTGAATTTAATTCCTGATGTATAATGTTGGCAGGAAGCATTATATTTTGGAAGCTGCTGATTAAAATATATCGTTGTACTAATTCTTTTGGTTGTTTGTTAGCCGAAATAACTTTTTAAGTGTGTTATAAAATTATTTTTTGTCATATGAAAATAAATTGTAAAATAATATTTTTTTCTCCTTAGGAATAAAAGAGAATGTTAACTTCAAAGCTTTCAGTATTATAAAAATTTCTTGAACGTTTGATTTTGAATTTTGTATACTAAATTCTGTGCAGATATGATTTTATTGATTTAAGCTCTGTGTTAATATTTTGTCAATTTCTAATTACATAGATTATAATGTTTTATGCATACTATTTGGAAGTTGCAATGACATCTTTTGTTGATACTTAGTATGAGAGTAAAATTTCCTGTAGCTTTCAGTTTAACAAATTTTTTTATGCGAGTAAGAGATATTTATTGTAGTTAAGAATTCATTTAATTCTATCACCTTGATTTTTTAGCAATAAAGATTTAAATTACAGTCATATTTTATTTTATTATTCACATGATAATGTTTCATAATGAAAATTTGGTACTTCTCCATTATTTATGCACTTGCCACACATTTTGGCATCATTATTATAGTAATATGTATGTGTGAGTTGCATTGTTCTTGTTCACATATGCACATTGTCCTTAGATGATGCTATCAGTTGATTTTGGCATGTGTTTGGCTTCTCTCTCATAGGGGTTGAAAAGGGTGGCAGGTATATAATGTAAAGTACCGTAAACTTGAGTTTTCCTTTTGTGCTTTTTCTTAAAACTCCTCGGACAATATATCCTGATCATAAAGAAAATCTGGAATTATATATTGTAATCATGTAGAACATGCCTCTCTAGTTAAATAGATAGCAAAAATAAATATAAACAAAATAAATTTATTGCCCTCATCAGCAGGTCATTGGTGCTTTAGAATTCACAATCATTTTTAATTTCCTGGTGTTTCCTTCTGGCATTTAAAAATCTCATCAATGTAATAAATATTTCTTTCCCCCCCCCTAGTTTTTTCTTTGGCTGAGTATACTGTAACTTTTAATAAAGCAGACAGAATCAATTTCTTGATAGTTATATTCCTTGCAGACTTCTAATTTAAATAACAGCCATCATGGTACTTTGTAACATAGTATAGTTAATTGTAATGCATATCAAACTGTTACTCTGAACGTTTTTACAACATCCATCGTGAGGGTGGTAATTTTTTTTAATAACTTTAAATTTCTCATTGATAGGTACTTTTCTTTTTCATCGTAAAGTTTCTCGTTGTTGTATAAATACTGTAATATCAAATAGTGCAAAATTGACGATGCATTTTTATCAGTGACGTGGTAAGTGCCATTCTTGGAATACATGCTAGAAATTTAACATTACTTTTAAATTCTTTTTTGCCTTCTTCAAGAATTGCTAGCGATAAATTAAATTTAGTTTTGAAATTTTGATTTTACATGAAAGAGTAGATAATAGTTGCATGGAACTAAGTGTTATGGATATGGTAAGTGTAATACAATTGTTTCTTTTTCTTTCTTTCTTTTCTTTTTTTTTAGCCATATGCTGTCTAAAAGTATTGGAAATGTAAAAGCATGAATTATTCTAATGTAAGTGCTAATGTATCAGTATATTCACCGAGCTTAGTACATGTTTGTCAGTATACTTAATGTTATCATGTAATACTAATCAGTCAGAGTTTTATGCAAAGGCATTACATGTTGATAAATCATTCCATGATAGTCAAAGAAAAAAATACTTTTAAGTACTTATTGTCCTTTGAAGTGGGAGAATTTAGCAATTTTGATGCTGTGCTTGTCTCTGCTTTCAAGATCAAAGTGCTAAGCTTACCATGCTTTATCAGACTCTGATGTTTCCAACACACATTTATCATTAAATTTGAGGCATAACTGAAAATGAAGTGTAGGTACTTTTAAAGCATCTAATTCAATAGAATCCTTTTACCTTTTAATCTCTGAAAAAAAAAAATTAAAATGTTAGTTTAGAAGCATGTGTAATACATGTGAAGATAAAAATATGAAATCTTTTTATACTGCATAAAGCAAGAAAATTAGCCAGTTCATGATTTTTAGTAATTTATGATTTTAAAGAAAAGTCTTTGTTTTTGCATTGTGTACTGTTTGATAATTAAGTCATAATTACAATGAATAAAGACAGAATTAGTAATGTGTTGTTTGTATCTATTTTTAAGATAAAAAAAAAAATCTTACTGTAATAAGGACTTAAATTGTACTACATCCTGGTTCTGATACTTGTCAGTTTCTAGGTAAAATGGTTGTTCCGTCAGAGCTCAAATAAATGAGTTTCCGGTAATTTGCTATACAGCTGAATTGCAGCATTATTAGAGCACTGCAATATTATCCTCGTTGAAGAATTGGCAGGAGTGGGTTTTTATTGAAAACTCCACTTACTCATAACCTTCTTTAGCTTTAGGTGTAGCAGATGTAATGAAAAAAAATTTCTTCTGAATCCATTTTAAATGCTTTTTGCAACCTGTTTTGGGAAAAAAAGTCTTTTATTCTGTCCTTATGTACAGATGTCGCACAAAAACATAGTTAAATTGCATTCAATAGCAGTCAAAATGAATATTTTCATTGAAATATGACACCTGAAAATTTTGGCAATTACAATACTTCCTTTACTTCGTATAAGGAAGTAAAAATTATTTTAAAAATTAACACTAACATGCAGAGTTGACAACTCTCTTAATTTAGGCGGGAGACTCCCGATTTCCGACCATTCTCCTGCCAACCCGATTTACAACATATTTCTCCCGACTTTCTCTTATTCTTAAAAGAGTTCTCGCTATTTTCATGTAGCTTGATTTAATACTTCCTTATTTGCGTCGCCAAAAAAGTGGTTTGGGGTGTCTAAAAGCACTTGGTTTTTCTCTAGACTGCATAGAAAACCAAAGTAGTTTCACCATTGAGAAGTTATGGCACGCTTTGTGAGTTAACAGCACGTGTCCAAAAACGTCATGTTCCATTTCTCCAATGAGCATCGAGTGCCATTGCGTGTCATCTGGCACATATTACAGAATGAGCACAAACAAGATTGAGATTGTTATTTCATTCATCTTGTCACTAACCTGTGTGAACGTTCATGCTTTCGAGAAATAATTTAAGAAATTACGATATTTTGTATTTGTTATGTCTGTGGAAAAGGTAAAATACTCATGTACTTTTCAAAAATCGTACACAGATGACTTTTCCTTCTAGTATTTCCTCAAGGAAATATAATGCATTTGTGATGAGTGCTGTTTGTCATTGCTATTTTTCGATTTCGCACGGTGGAAGGACTGATGTTCTCAAACATATTCGTACACAAAAAACACAGGGACAACATGAGTTCTATTGAAAGAAACGAAAAGTAAATTTTTTTTTCTGTGCAAACAAAGGACCAAAAAGTTATTAATGCAGAATGTTCTGTTTGCATCTAAGAATTTGTAAAGGAACTTTTCAATATTAATTAGTAACAATTTGAAGGTAATTCATTATTAAAAATATATTTTTATGATTTAAAAATCTTTTTGTCATTGAAAATAAATCTCCTGATTTCTAAAAAACTCTCCCGATTTTTGAGTGTCGTAGGTTGGCAAGTATGAAGAGGTAAAGTGTATTATATCAGTTACTGTACAAATTTAAAAAGTAATATACTATAAAACAATATGGCAGAGCTAAGAAATAGCAGATAGAAGAATAAATTAAACCCAGTTCTGGCATTTTCGAAGGTAGCATTCGAAAATTCAGACTGGTCTCATTACGATTATAAATTTGATCTCCAGGTATACCCTCCTTTTCAATTAGTTTGTGGAAATTATCCTTGATTATTGCAGCATTTTTCAAGCTAGCAGATAGCTTTTCCTCATCAGTTGAGCCAGCCCTCACTAGCAGTAAATCCAGGCTTTCCTTGAAATTCATCATAAAATTTTAGGTCTTTTCTTTTAAAATTGGTATTAAAGTGGGTGCTTTCTGTTCTCTTTGCTGCCTGAACGAGAAAAAAGCATCTCCAGCATATCCAGCATAAACTAAGCTCACTTTTCATATTCACTACCTTTCATACATTTTCATTCCTTTAAACTATCCGTACATGCTCTTTTCACACACCAAGACTCTATTTTGAACCTCTTCTTTTTCAACCCTATCAAAGTAGTCCATTCCCATTTTGTCCAGTCTCTTTAAGGCATTTAGTTTCATTTTCATTGTCATGCTCGTTTGTTTTCATTACTTTTCAAATAACATTTTCTCTTCACAGAATATCTAAAGTTTCCAAAAATATGTTAACACTCGTACGTCTGAATGTGAACTGAGGAACGATACCCGCAATGAACTGGTGTAGTATAGTTTACAATAAGATGCAGTCACAAAACTTTAGACAAGTCTCCTAACGTTTCACAACAATAGGAAAGAATGTGAGCCAGTGCCAGCTGTGTTTAGCTGCTACCTGACTTTCTTCATATCATTGAAAGAAGCAAACAGCATTGCAAAGTATTACAATATATCTTGAAATTTGTTAGACAGTTCCAAGAATTAATGGCAGAATGTGCAAGTGGAAAAATTACAAAAAAAGAACACTCAAATCTTTAAACAGAACAGGAAAGACATACTTATAATTATGGATACTGTATGCAATATTTGCTCTGATTGGTCTAGAGATATATTTAAAATGTTCCTAAAATGTTGTCGAGTTATTCGGAATGTCAATGTGGGACTTTGCTGTATTATTTTAAATAAATATGCACACTTATTACACAATTTTTTGATACGTAACTGTGGTGTAAACGATTTCTTAAGGAAACATTTCCCCACTGACCCAAATAGGGAAAAAGCAGACATTTACTAGGTAACCACACAAATATGTAAAATACCCTCTCTTATTACACATTAAAAATTGCCACCCCAAAGGGCTTGATTATATATGCACTCTGGGACTGTACCCTGTTTTTCTCTGTGTTTAGCTGGCCCAGCATAAACTAAGCTAAACTGAATTATGACTCTATGATATTAATGAAAATGAAAAGATTAATATTAATGAAAGATTAATATTAATATTAATGAAAAAAAGCTATTAATGAAACTTAAATAGAAAAATTCTTTCTTTAAACTGTTGTTTATGATCTTCTGGACCTGATTCCATGTGCTTCATTCTTTCCAGATATTAAAACTGCTAAAATTTAAATTTTTCTTTGAGTGCTGCTATGCTTTTAACTGCTATATAATTTTTAACAGTGATCATATGCAAGCATTTATAGCCAACTTCCAATTATTTGTATATAATGATAACTTCCATTCATTAATGTAATGTTTTAAAAAATTTTGTTTTAAGCAGCATGCTTCTTATAAAAATTCAGGATAGGCTTCTGACTATTTTGCATCAATATATTTTGTGCAGATGAATACAGAATAGTGAATGTGCTATCATGAAATGTATTTAATATCTCCATCACTCTGTCCACTCTCATTTATTTCTTTGCTGTATATTGCATGGGTATTAAAAGATAAATTAAGTCTGATTCTTTTTTTGATTAGTTTATGCATAATTCAAGTATATCTTTATACTTTTGTTTCATAACATTTCATTTTATATTTTTAGTGCTAACATGGAAGATAGTGGTATTGATAGTGATTCTAAGTCTGCTTTAAACTTGAATCATTGTGCCAATAGTGAATCTTCAGATCTTCAAGATAAAAACAAAGAGGAAGAAAGCGGGATTGCTTGTAGTGATGACTTAAACACTGAATCTACAGAAATTATAAGTAATCCATCAATGGTGAGTTTTAATTATATCTGGTACATTATGATATTTCATCACAACTGTATAATGAACATAAATAGTATTTTACATGTAGATATTCTAGTAGACTTCATCATATCCATAGCATATGTGCTTTAACTGGCCATGTTTTCATCAAGACCTTTTTTTTCATATACATATATATACAGTACAAAGTCTGTAATCCAGAATGATCTATAATCCGGACCTCAAAGCCACAAACTTACGCATGCACGTTTAATGTGCACATCCGCTGTGCATGCGTATAAAGCCAGTAAAGCGTTTACCCATGCGCGCTTCCGATAGTGAAGAAAGTGACGGAGAGGTTATTGAAAACGAAAAAAATTTCGATTGACAAGTTAGTTGGTATTCTCGACACAGCAATTACAAGTGGAACTTTGTAACTGAACAAGAAATTATGTCTGTGGAACTACTCTGATATGCGCCCTCAAGTCGCCAAATTTCTCGCCAAATATTTTTGGCGAGAAAATTCACGCTGCCATATTACTATCTAAATTTTTTGTCTACATTTTGAACTTTTAGCCTAAAATGTCTCCAAAAATGTGGTTTTTGCACATGCAAAAACTACGTTTTGTACACACAATTTAGCTAAAAATCCGAAACAAAAACAAAAAATTTAGATAGCAAAAACGTAAAGTTTCTAACCAAAAATATTTGACAAGAATCCATGTACACAGCGACATGTTTTAACTTAAAAAAACATCTACGAATTGCACGATGTAGGCAACGAACGAATCTACAAACTACGCACACCTCGCTTTAATAAATTAACATAACAACAATAAATTTCAAAGAATACCATGTACACAGCATCCTGTTTAAACTTTAAAAATATTCCACGAATTGCACAATTTAGGCAAGGAAGGAATCTACGATCTACGCACTCCTCGCTTTAATAAAATAACATAAAAACAATAAATTTCAAATAATACCATGTACACAGCGTTCTGTTTCAACTTTAAAAAACATCTACGAATTGCACAGTCTAGACACTAAACAACAAAATAAACTAAAATAAATTTCAAACAATTTAAAAAAACAACAATAACGACAGAAATTCATACTAAAGAACCAATGAACATAACATTCTACAAAATAAAAACAAGGATAAAATAAAATGCACTTACCATGAATTAATGCGTTTTCGAATAGCAGAAATATAAATTTCATACCGCCTTTAACATGCCGCCACGTAATCATTATCGTATTTACATAACAGCCAGACACACTATCCAGAAAATTTATACTATGGTTCACAAATAAATAAAATCACAAATCCCTACTTCTATCATGCACTGCCATTAAAAATAATCTCCCAGACCCTCTTTCCACACTTACAAATACCCACTACCACTCAACAGGATAGCCACAATGATATTTCCTTTTGCCGAACTTCAATTCAACAACTACCATTTTATCTTTCCCTCCCATCTTCTCAGACACAGAGGGCGAACCAACGAGCTCCAGCGAAAGATTTTTCAACGTCAACAGGGTTGCCATAGAACACGCAATCGCGCCAAAAACCAGCGCAGAACACATATTGCCACATTTGGTGAAATTAGGGCGTATATTAGAGTTGTACCATGTCTGTTTATAGAATTAAAGAGAAAGTATTAGCACAACGAAGCAACTTAAACAGCTTACATTCAAAGAAATGTTTAATAAAGTAAACAAATATTAAGCTTTTTTTTTTTGTAAAATTTGATACACTTTAGATCATAATTGCTCTTTATTTCATAAATTATGGTTTCATATTTTTTAATTATATAATTTCTGCATGCCATCTTACCAGATTTAAATTGATGATCTATAATCCGCAAAAATCCCTAATCCAGAATCCCCGAAGTCCCGACCAGTCCAGATTACGGACTTTGTACTGTATTAGATAAACAAAATAAACATATATTCCAATTTTTATATTATACCTGTAAAAGAAATATTTTTCAATTACTAATGTTACAAAAAAAAGTGACGCATAAAACTAGTACTGTCGAAACTCTTTAATCTGAACTTGTCAGGACTTCGGCAATTCCGGATTATCGGTTTTTCCGGATTATAGATCATCATTTTAAATCTGGTAAGATGGTATGCAGAAATTATAAAATTAAAAATATGAAATCATAATTTATGAAATAAAGAGCAATTATGATCTAAAGGCTATCAAAATTTACAAAAAAGAAAAGGCCTTGTATTTATTTGTTTACTTTATTAAACATTTCTTTCAATGCGCGCATGCGTAAAGCATACATTACGCATTAGTCGAAATTAGAAAATTGCAACCCGAAAACTATTTGATGTGTATTTGTGATATTTATAATGACGAGGAATTTGATTTAAATGATATCAAAGACGGGAGTACATCGAGATGAAATACTACATTTAATAAGGAATTATAAGACGAATAAAATAAAAACATCTGCCCTGAAGATAAGGATAGTGCTGACAGATCAACTTCCAGTTCATTGCGCGCTGCGTCGTCTTTTTGACATAATCGAAAGTTCAAGCTTACTTTTATAAAATTCTTTTAACAGTCTGCAAAAAATAATAAGCCGGATCCAATTAGAAGATTAAGGAACAACGTAATCTGCAACATTAACTGAAAGAGATAATTAGATAATTTTAGCTTAGCTTATACCATCCGTTATACATTAAACACGCATGCGTAAATGTATTATGCACATTTGTAAAGGCATATGCACATGCGTAAAGGTTTTATGCACATGCGCAGAAAGTTTGTAGCTTTGAGGTCCGGATTATAGATCATTCTGGATTATGGACGTCCGGATTAAAGACTTTTGACTGTATATGAAACAATTAATATAAAAAATAAAACATTTTTAGTTTTTAGTAACTGTTTTATTCTGTAATTAGTTGTCAAATCAATTAAATTCTTGAAATAAGCTATGAACATATCTGTCAGCTTAGATGTGATCCTTAAAGAATTTCATACGACAATGTGGGAAATATTGGCCAAAAATTAACTGCAGCCATGCAAATTAAAATCCATGCATGGGCTTAAATTAATAATGGACAAGGTCTGATAGTCACCTTAGGTCTGATAAGTTTATATTCACCAGTAATATTTTTTTTATAAAGTTATGTTTTGTTTTATAACTTTTTAATTTCATGAGGGTGGCTGGCTAGGCAGCCTCCTTTGAACCTCAGGAGAAATGTAGGTTTGGCTATGTGGGCTTGGAGCAGTGCTCCTTGCACTTCTTGCTTACATGCAATACTCACCGTTGACATTGGCTAACTACGTAGAAAAGTATTATGCAACAGAGAACTTGCTTATCATGCGCATGTGTTAAGGGAATCAACGACGGTTGCCAACATACCCCCTTTCGACGTTGATTTTCCTATTCCTGAAAAGTAAAACAAAAACAAAATACATATTAAACAGTATTCAGTCCTATAATTGTACAACAGTTTCGATGTTTAACTGGAGTCAGGAGTTTGGTTAACACATCAGCTCTCATTTCACTGGTAGTTATGTACTGCACATCCAATTCACCACGTTCACATACTTCATGCACAAAATGATGGCAAATACCTATGTGCTTTGTACGGGAGTGAAACACTGAGTTCTTGGTAATTTTCTGAGCTCCTTGATTGTCGCAGTATATTGTTGTTGGGTTTTCTGTGTTGTAACTCAGTTCTTTCAGGAAATGACATAGGTAGACGGTTTCTTTGGCGGCCTCAGACAGAGCCATATATTCCGCCTCCGTTGAAGATAGAGCTACACTGCGTTGTTTTCGTGATTCCCAGGTTATGGCTGAACCACTTAATATATATAAAAAACCTGTGTAGGATTTTCTATCATCGACATTTGATGCCTAATCTGCATCCACAAAGGCGATGAGTGGTTTTCCTGTTTTCGTATAAATTAGTCCTTGATCTTTGGGTTCCCTTTAGATATCGAAGTATTCTTTTCGCAGCATGCCAAATGTTCTTTTCCGGGATTGTTGTTAAATTGACTTAAGAAATTCACGGCGTATGTGATATCTTTTCCTAGTAGCTACTGAAAGGTACATTAGTGATCCGATCAGATTTCTAAATGGAACATTTTTCATGTCAGCAATTTCGTTTTTAGGACTCATCTCTTTTGATAATTTTTTGCTCTTATCTATAGGTGAAGACATGGATTTAGCATTTTGCATATTATACCAATTTAAAATATCATTAACGTATTTCTTTTTAGAAATTTTAATTGAATTTTCATTTTGGTAAAATTATATGCCTAAGCAATAATGTAATTTCCCCAAGTCTTTCATTTTGAAAGTAGAAGCTAAACTATCAAGAACTGTTTCATATGTTTGCTTAGAATCGGTAAAAACGATAAGATCGTCTACATAAACAATTATAATAGTTTCACTGTTAGACATCTTTTTAATATAAACACAATTATCTGAATTAAGAAGTTTAAATTTCATAGATTTAAATTTTTCATCCAACTTTTTGTACTGCTGACGTCCTGACTTTTTAAGACTGTATAATGATCTCTTTAAAAGACACATTTTATCTGAATTAGTTTCATTGCGAAAACCTTCGGGAATTTCCATGTGTATTTCTTCATCTAAATTTCCATTTACATAGGCCATTACAAAATCTAATTAGTAGCCTTTGAGACTGTGTTCTACAGCATAGGCTAAAACTGTTCTTATGGAACGTAATCTAGCAACAGGGAAAAAGTTGTTTTCAGTGAAATCTAGACCGTAGATTTCAGCACACCCTTTAGCAACTTGCCTAGCTTTGTATTTTTCGATAATGCCATCGTGATTATATTTTAATTTAAGAACCCATTTACTACCAATAACTTTCTTGTCTTCAGGTCTTTTTACTAATTTCCAAGCCTTTTCTTGAACAAGCAAATTATATTCTGAAAGCATGGCATTATGCCAATTTTCAGTATATGATCCATTTAATGCTTCTTGCACCATAGGATTAATGTTTTCCTCAACAACATTTTGAGTTTGTTCATTTTTATTTACAACTGTATAGTGATATTTCTTTTTAGGCCTTCCTGGCAAACCTGTTTTTATTTTCTTGGGTCGATCAGGCCCCCTTTTAATCAGGATAGGGGGCATTGGTTTGCTATCTAAATCAGCGCTTTCCTTTTCAGATTCAGAGTCAAATGGCGACTTGCTGCCGTACAGAGGTGATGATTTATCAGAACATTATTTATAATTTTTTTCCTCCGGACCGAAAGGCAGATATATTTCTTGCTCTGAATAATAACTACAGCAGTTTTCAAACTCATTAATAAATTTTACGTCTCTGCTTATTATCACTTTACGTGCCTCAGGATCCCAAAATCTATACGCTTTTGATTCATCAGAATAGCCAATAAAAATACATTCTTTAGATCAAATATCAAACTATTCTTGGCCTTTTATTTGGTGGAAATGCTTTTTTGCCAAAGGTTCTGAAGTGAGAGACTGCTGGAACTCTGCCAAACATCACTTCATAAGGTGTTTTTATTTCGCCTTTTAAATCTCGCGTTGGGCAGCGATTTCGAATGTAAGGAGCCGTATTGACGGCTTCGGCCCAGAATTTCTGAGGCAGATTGGATTGTAATAACAAACATCGCACCATTGAAACTATAGTGCAATTTAATCTTTTGGCAACACCATTCTGGGGTGGCATGTGAGTAGTGCTCATTCCGTGTTTTATTCCAGCGTCGTTAATAAATTTATTAAAGTCTTTCCCTAAATATTCTAGCCCGTTATCGGTTCACAGAATTCTTATTTTAGAGTTAAGTTTATATTTTCAAATGATGCTTTAAAATTTCTGAAAGTTTCTTTAACCTCATCCTTAAATTTTAGAAAATAAACATGAACATATCGAGATTTATCATCAATAAATGTTGTGAAATAAAATTATCCACCTATTGATTCGGTTCTCATGGGACAGCACAAATCAGAATGAATTAGATTTAACAATTCAGTACTTCTATATTCAGATTCTTTGGGAAGGGGGTTGTGGTTTGTTTACTCTGAATGCATACCTTACAAGTAGAAAGAGAGTCATTTTGAGAAAAAGACCTCTAACCATGTTATTTAATTGAAGTTTTTTAAAATCATTTTCATTTAAATGACCAAATCTTATATGCCACTGATCTATTTCTTTAGCAATTGATACAGATTCAAATATGAGCATGGCATGACAAAATAAAGATCATTTTCGTGTTTAGCTAAAATTACTGTTTCATTATTAGAATTAATTATTTGAGTTTATTTTTCTTTGAAAATTACTGAAAGATTATTTGCAATTACTTTAGACACAGATTAAATTATTTTTCAAATCAGATACACACAATATATTTTTGAGTTTGATATTTTCAGTTTTAGAACCTATACAAACTTTAAATTTAACAGTTTCTTTTCCGATAACTTTAACTATTTTATCAACAGCTAATTAAACATAAGTATCACCTACCTCGTGAATTTCTTGGAACAGTTTCTTGCTGTTACACATATGTGATGTTGCACCACTATCCAGACAAAAAATGTCTTTAGAATTACTATTTGTGCGTGATACAGCTTTTTCTTGCTCCAAGGAATTCTGATTTTCTGCAGACATCGCAGTTTCACTAAGGCATTTGCTTTTAGTTTCATTACTTTTCTTCTTACATTCCGATGCTCTATGCCCGTAGATATGGCAGAAGTTGCATCTGTAGTTAACTGAATACTGTCTTCGGTTTGCAGACTTATCTGGTTTCAGTTTAGGAACCGGTCGTTGAGTATACTTCCAATCTTTTGAATAGAGTGCATGTTGTGGTTCAGAAAACGATGAATCTTTATTTTTGCAAGTGCTAGCTTCTTCCAACAGTTTAATTTTCAGTATTTCTGGAGGAGGCAGTTCATCACGAGATTCGATGGCTATTTGAAAGCTTCCATAAGAGTCTGGTATGCTATATAAAAGCAATATTGTAAGCAAACCATCTGCAATGTTTATTTCCATTTCTTTCAGTTTGTTCATAATAATGAAAAAAAAAAATCATTTAGATGATTAGTCATTTGTTCAGAATCACTCATTTTTGTAAAAAGCATTTTTTTTTTTTTTTTTTTTTTTTTTTTAGAATTGTGGACTTTCTAGCTTGTCCTTTCAATTCATAAATAGAATGCAATTTACTCCATAGTTCATGAGATGTTACAGAATTCTGTACTTTAAAAAAAATTACTAGAGATTTGCCAAATCATACATGTGAAAATGATGAAAAGAAAAAGTCAGAGGTACTTACTTACTATTCCAACAATTGTAGTAGAAGTAAGCAAATTTTTAGAAAGTGCCAAACTCTGGCAACCATGCTCATAACAATCATTTCAGTCAAGCAACACTGTTATTTTTGTATGCGTTCTATTTTGTTGTGTTCTAAGCTCCAGTGGTTTTTATTCACAATTCATGGTATTTTTTCCCCTTAGTTTTAAAATATAAGTGTATGGAATTCACCAGCAATGGAAGAAACTAGAGTAAAATTTTGGCAGTAATACAGAATTTTGCTGAAAATTTTCTAAATGGAGCAACTAGGAAATGCATTTTTTAGATAGCTGCTGTTGCCAAAGATTGTACAAAGCCAAGTCTCCACTATTCTCTGATCTTTTTTTTTTTTTTTTTTTTTGAGTAAAAGTTTTTTGAGT